CTAAGGAACAAGACCGTATGCTTGGTGAAAGTTTTATGGAGAAATCAATCAGTGGAAAAAGCTACTTGGGAGACAGAGGATCAGATGAGAGAGATGTATCCACGCTTGTTTTATGATTATTAGTGGAAGTATTTGTTATGTATAATTTCGAGGACGAAATTTTATAAGGTGGGGAGATTGTCACAGCCCGTTCCGAAATACTTTTTGAAGGATGATTTTGTGAAAACATGTTCATTTAAGCAACATCAATAAGCATGCAATTAACAATTAAAGGCGGAATCATGCTAGCATGCACTTAAAAACAAAACATTAACCAAGAAATTCAAAGCCTAGTAGATTGGTGAACCATTAATCAACTCAAAACAAAGTGAGTTGAAATTTATACCTTTGTAGATTCCTCTTTGCATAAGCAAAGGCTAATCACCCAAAGAGAGGGCCTTCATTCCTTGCATCTTAAATCTATAGATTTGGATGGATGAATAGGTTTCTCCAAGTTCCCAAAATTGAGAACCTCTAAGTCTCTTCACCAAGGAGAGATTGGAGAAGAAATGAGTGACCTTGGAGTAGTGGGATTGCAAGATGCACCCCCCAAGGTGGCCGGCCTCTTTAGAGAGAAAATGGAGAGACAAGTTCTCACCAATTTTCTCCAAAAAACAAACCCTAATGAATTTTAGGCTATAAAGTCATATTTATACCTTTATTCATTTGAGTGGCAAACTTGTAAATAAGTCCAAGTTCACTACCCTTAGCATCATGGCCGGCCCTAGGGTATTTTTGGGCTAATTAGGCCTTTGTGAATCATTATTCATTAAGTTGTCATACAACTTAAGTCAATGGGCTTGACGTTCAAAGCCCATTGGGCCTTAATGTCCAAAACTATCTCGAGGTCTTTAACGAACTTATTCGTTTGATTAATTAACATATTAATTAATCCTTGCCATAAATAAATGATTAAACCATTTAATCATTCTTACTCATCTCCATTATTTCTTCAATCTCCACCTTACACGGTGTGCGATCCATTAGGTTCCTTTTAGCGAGGCAGTGGGCGATTAAAACCATTTTATATCGATTGTGAATTGAAACTTACTTTCAATTCTCCCTTTAGTGATTACACACGTTTAGGGCTTCCACAAACCATGAGTGACACCTTGCAGCATATCATGGTTACCCAAGCTAATCAGAAGAGGTAGAGAAAACCTATTCAGTTTGGGATTACAAATGCAATACGGTTTTTCTCTAATACAATACTCTTGACCACATTGTTTGGTTTGATAGTTTATTTATTCATGTCTACTATCCAATGTGATTCGTGTGCTTATATGATTACCTTGAATGTGATTTAGAACGACTTTTCTAAATCTCATTCATACTCTGGCCAGAGATTCTAAATCATATCATAGAGTATTCTCCCTCAAACAGTTTGAAGGTTAGAGATCCCTTGTTGCGCATTCACTTGCCTCCATGGCTAAGTGGCTTAACCCCAACGATGCCATGGACACCCCGATGGGGTGACTTTGACATAATCAAAGATCAAGGACTTAACCACAAGACAACTGTGATGCCTCAGGTCAAAGGACTACTTTGCATTATCCCAACCATGAGTTCTCATGTGACATGAGTATGAGAACTCCTCGTTGATCGCGTTCAGTGAACTCATTCTCTACTGAGCACCTACGTACTTGTCTTGATGTCACACACACTAATGACTCGAGACTAGTCACTCTCCCTGAGAGAAGACATAGCACGTACTGATCTTGACGGACTGTCAATGCCCAATTGGCAATCCTATGATCAGGAACATTTAGGATGTGTCTACGAAAGAATGGTCTCATGAATCTAACTTCATTAGATTACATTCTCCCAATCACATATTCCTTGGACTTTATCGTTTAAGCATATAACATTTATATGAGACGGCTCAAACAATAATCTTTGCCCTTTATATTAAACTAGATTAGTTTAACATGTGAAATGTCTGTAAAGCATCATCACATGATTGGTTTTAGGGCACATTTCCAACACTTTTATCAAAGGTGTGAAAAGACTAGAATGCCCTTGGGCGTTGAGATGAATCGTATGTGACATGGTTTTAGAAGTGGACCAATATAATTATTTTCCTAAGTTTTTTGGGCCAATGAGAATTAAACCTTGGTTAGTTGTGATTGGTGTGTAGATTGGACCACACACACATCCACATTACTCTATCTTTCTCTTCCCTCCCGTGTTCTCTCTCTATCTCATGGACTCTCTCTCTCCTTCTTCTTGTACGGACAAACACCAAGGACCTATCAAACCTCATTGATCAAGGAAGAAAATGGTACCATTGTGTTCGTGAAGCCCAGACGAGTCGATTGGTACCCATTTCAGGTAAGGATACCTTCGAAAACCCTAGTTTTTCATAACCCCCATTTGTGCACTGCTCATGCACACGTAATTATGGATGTTTTTGGGAATTTGAAGCTTGTAGGAAGCTTAGTGAGGTCCCAAGGAAGCTCGGAGTGCTTCGTTTAAAGGTTTTGGATGTCAGGATCGTGTGGACGAAGTTTGGCCAGTTTTCTTGGAATTCTCCGGTGAGATTCCGTGACTTTTAGAACTTTAAATTAGTATGATTGTGTTCTACAAGTTAAGAGCTTCATTTTGGTATAAAATATGTGAAAAATGGTTCAAAACCGAGTGAGAAATGGGCAGTTGCAGGTCTGCCCAGAATCCGGCACTGGTGACACAGTTCCGGCGTCTGGAAGTTGAAGAAGATGCGTGTGTGCCACGCGTGAGGCCGTGCCCTCCCCGGCGCGTGAGGCCGCGTGAGCCATATAAATTTTTTTCTAAAAATATCACAATGTTCGTGAGGTTGTGTAGATCACTGTGGTATATTCATATACCCAAATTAAGCAATGTATGAGAAGTTATTAGCTAGTTTTGTATATGTGCTTTAAAATAACGTTTTTATAGTTAATTCGCATATAGGTGAGGCCTATCCTGAGGACGAGCGTATCTATGGGCGACTCAGGGGCTACGACCTTTCGACATACCAGTGAGTGGGCTTTTGTTTTCAGTATATACTTATATACTTGATATATTTCCCAGAAATGCATTTATAAGGAAAGTATGCTTTGAAATAATATGCGAAATGCCTTTATATTTTGAATACGCATTTCATGGTTGCATATATATATATATATATATATATCAATGTGGTGCTGTGGAGGCACAGGTAAGTTCAGGTAAGTTATGTTTGGCTATGTGAATCATCGATGATGTGATATGTGATTGAATAATGTTGAGCTCATAAAACTGCACCTAGGGTGAATAATGTTGAGCTTATAAAACTGCACCTAGGGTGATTGTGATTTAGCCAGAGATATGAAGTACATGCCTGTTTATTTATGTCACCTCCCGCACTTTATGCTCATATTGGATCCAACTTAAGTGCACAATCTTGTCGTACAGACCTTATTTATGGTTCCGACTCGTAGGTGACTAGTGATTTATCGCCCGGCTATTATGAGAGAATAGAGTTGAGCATAATTATATTTCACCCAATCTTGTTGTACAAACCTTTTTAGGGGTTCCGACTTATGTGCAGTATATTGCCGTATAGGTCATTGTAGTGACTCCGGCTAGATTGACTTTTTAGCTATGAATTCAACCATACAGACCACCTCAGGGGTTCTGGCTAGCATATCATATTTCTATGAAATCATTCTTACCTGAATTGTTTTACTTTGTTATATTTTGGCATAGTATACATTTGAATATGTGAAGCATGAATTGAATTGATATGATTATATATATATATATATATATATATATATATATATATATATTATGTATATGCTTATATCTTGATTCTGGGAAAAATTATACATGTTTTACAGCAAGGGGTTAGTATATTGATAAATGAAATGATTTTGTAAAACATTTGTTTTTGCCCACTCACGTTTTCTGTTTTGCGTCCCTCTAGGTTTTAAGTAAGCTTACTGTTGGGGGCTTGAAGCCGTCGATAGTTTTGACTTATCCAAATAATAGTAGAACAATCATGGTACTGCATAATTAGTACTTGTCCTACTGGACTACACCTAGACTTGTATGCTCTGATTAGGAGTGTTTATTGTTGTAACTAACTCCTATCACTTTCTATTTAGTAGTGCACTCTAGTAATTTGTTTTTTTTTTAATTATTCGTATAATTCTTATCATTATCGCTTCCGCACTGTGCACATGGCTACGTCACTCTCACATGACGGCCAAAACGCCTTGATCTCGGTCGGGGTGTGTCATTTCGCACTTGTAAATTAATTATAATAATTTTTTAATGTGTTTGGTATTTTTATATTACTTGATATTTTTATTTTTAATGTGTTTTATAATTTTTTAATCTCACTCTTTGCCTTTGCCTATAGTATACTATAGAAATAAATAACTAAATAAAACTTAAATTTTTAAAATTTGTATAGAATAATAATAAAATAATAATTAATAAACAATATATGTAAATATCCACTATATCTATTGTATTCTATAGTAAGGTTTTTTAGTTGTTTAAAAAATTAAAATCATCAATAATATTTTTCTTATCGTGTTGAAATAGATTACTCACGTGTCACTTTCGTGTAAACCTGTTAAGAACCCGGATTCTTATCTTGTGAGCCGATAATGACCCGATTATTTATCATGTTGGCCCAAAACACGTTATTTTCGTGTCGTTTATGTGTTGTGTTAACGGATCGTGTAAGAAATTGTCAGGTCTACAATTTCATCAAGATTGATAGCTGAATTGTGATACCACAGGTATCAAAACAGTTTACAGGCGAGTGATCTAGAACTCATCTGTACAATCCCGTAACACAAAAACAACTTCATTTGAATGCAAAAAACTTCCTGGTAGAATGCAAAAACTTTGTAGCTATGATCAATGGCTGTTCCGCAAATGATACATTTTTCTTTAAAACTGAAAGATGCAACGTACCTTTGTTTCTTAGCAACACACATTACAAAATAGAAGCATAAGAAATCACACCGTTACGCATTAGCTGCTTATGTTTTAAGGACATGTACAAGAAGGCAACATGATTGATGGCATTGAATTCAGCTGGACCTAGAAATGTTGCACCAAGAAATTAGGGTTCTACAAGCTGTCTTTTGAATTGGAAAATACTTGACGGTGACAGTACGAGTAAATTAAAATTTGCTGAACCTAAATTAATTGCTGGTTTTGAAGGGCCTGTAGACCTTGAGATCATGAACCACACCAGTAACTGAACCACCTGCAGCACATAAGGCGATTGCAAGGACACAAAAACTGAGGATTTCGAGGCAAATCCATCTCATGCTCCACTTTGGTATCTTCTTTTGAGCAATGTACATCTCCACGGGGAAATAAACTGTGAGTGGCCAATACCCCAAAGCCCCGAGAAATCCAACCACATTGTTGAAGAATGGGAGGATCATGGAGATCACAGTGGTTAGAATCACAAATAATGTTCTCCAAACTAAACTGAAGAGGTTAAGGTTGTAGGAACCTAAACGCGGGATTGTTATTTTGATGTCTTTTGTGATGAACTGGCTGTCTGGAAAAAATTTTGCTGCCGTTTTTTCGACCAATGCGAAAATGGGTTGGGCGAAAACTTGGTATGCACCAACAAGGTGGATCACAATGGCGGCATTGGCTATGTCGATGAGCCAAAATGGGCTGGATAAGCCTTTGTCAGTAAGGAGGTTTCCCGGAGCTAAGTCTCCAAAAGCAGCGTAGCCCATGCAGCCGCATAGAATGTAGAAAATGGATGTCACTGCCAAACTAAGTTGAGTGGCCTTCTTCATTGTTTTGGTTTCAGATGGTGGGGATTTAACTGTGTCCTGTTACATTTATATGATTGATTAAGTACATAAAATTGTTGCGAAAAGTATAAACATTGTTAATTTTAACTTGAAGAAGATATAAACCTGAATTTCAATGAGGATGATTGAGTAAGAGAAGGCAAAAGCTATGTCACCAAGTGCTTGGAAGGTCCTCCACATCTTTTGGGCTGGAGTCACAACCCCAATGCTCATTCCGGACATGCTTCCCTTGATTTTTCCATTTTCTGGTATATCCACACAAAAAAAGATTGAACTAAACTAGTTTACTAGAACCATTTTAATCTTGATAACCAAATTCAAATTTTAATGCATTATTTGACATTTGATTCTTGTTCTCTTAATCATTTGGTGACCTAGAATTTATGGTAACCCACCTTTAAATTTGAGATCAGGCACGGAGAATAAATAAAAATGACTTTAATTAATGTATTAATCTCCATTATTGATATCAAATGTAATAGTGAGTGACTATGCATTCTTGGTCACCGGAGAAAACATTTCTCCATTCAACATAGCAGTAATAGATATGTGTACCAGCAACTTTAGCAATTCCAAGGGCTAGTCCAATTCCAGAGTAAGTGAAGGACATGAATGCAGCAACAATGGAGAGCCAAGACAACTTATCAAAGTTTGGAATTTGAGACAATATAATTTCCGAGATTCCAAAAGCTAGCATATAGGGATTGCTGCTGGTAAGGCATGGATCTTTTCCACCACTATTGTGGAAGCAAGTAGACCTTTTTATTGCCCTGTTAATCAACACAAAAAATATAATGTAATCAAATATCTGTATGCGGTCCAATATCTTAGTGGATAGGGTGTTGAATTTTTACACATACAACAGAGGTTCAAAGCTCTCTCTCTCGTAAATTAATGTGACAATTTCAAATCCTTCCTCTCTCCCTAATAATAATAAAATTAAAAAAAAATGTGATCAAAGGTCACCAATTTCTTAATTGAGTTTAAACACTCAAGACTTACACCATGCTTATAGCTGCCGTTACAGTATAGCCAATAGTAGTTCCAAAAAGGTTCAATTGCTGAATAAATCCACACATTTTGACCTGAACTTTACCTGAGAATTTCAAATTAACACACAAAAAAATTGGGTTATATACCTTTGGAAAAAAAAAAAAAATCCTTATTTCTTACGTCAAAAAGAAAAAAAAAATAGTATTAGGCAAAATTCACCAAGGTGGGATCGAACAGCATCCGAGTAAGTGCAGCTTCTCTTTCCAGTGACGGGATCACGATAGCAGGAAACAAGAAGAGTTGAAGTGTAGTAGGTGATGAAGGAGAACATGACCATCACAACAGGACCAGCAATCCATCCAAGCTGAGCTATGGCCCAAGTCAAGGACAGAACTCCAGACCCAATCACAGCAGTAATTATGTGTGAACTTGCCGTCCAGAGAGTTCCTTGTACCACAAACAACACACAAAAAAAATGAAAACAAATGAACATGCAAGTCAAAGTGCATGCATTTTACTTAGCATTTTCAAGAAGAGAAGTATAACTTACCGGTTCTTATGAGGCGGCCATCTTCATCGACGATTTTGGAGCCTCCTTGCACATCGAGTGAGACATCAAAAGCTGGGCTGTTGTGAAACTGCAGCTGGTTCCTTGTGGCAATGTTTTCACCCATAAAATTAAAATGCAATTATGCTGCAACTCTCACTCAGTTCCAAACAATTCCTTAGTGTTCTTGTGTTCTAACAAATAATCCCAAAGTTTGTTCAGTACAATCTATGAAAAATGAGGGGAGAGAAACAGATGGATCTTCTTCTTTAATGCATCTAAATGGTATTAGTATTACTGACATAAGCACAAATTGTTTAATATTTTATTAAGTTGATAAATACTAACCAATGTACTATTTATTCGCCTAAAAAAGATATGCTGTTTATTGACTACATTATCCCTTACATGATAAAAATTTGGCATGTCTGTTGTACTGCCACGTCTATTTATCTCGACTTATATCTATTTATCTAGTTTAACTTCATGAATATACACACAGATATACATATGGTGTTTCCGAATTACATCATATTATCCATTGATGTCGGGATAGTGCTTACCTCCTAAATCGCCTTATCCTTGTAAATAGGTCAAATGGTTGATTGAGTGAGTGTGCTGATGAGTGGATTTTATACTATATATTATTCTCTATTCTTGGTATTTATTATTTTGGTGAAATTTTTATGTTTTGTTATGTGTTTTTAATGTAGAACATGCAAATTTGTTTGGAGCATAAAGTAATCCAACGGTGGAAATTTTGAGTGATTCCAATTGGAGCGGGTTCGTGAATCTGTCAAGAAGGTTGTATCATAATTTTATCCTGAAACATCTGATCGTGACAAATTAATTTATGCCCAGCTCGCAGTGCTAGCAGATTGGGCTGCAGAGCTTATTTGTGATTTTTGGGCTGGAAGATAATGGATTTTGGATTTGGGCTCTTCTTGGAACTTGAAGAGGAGGTCATAATCTTTATTTTGAGTCATTTTAGGGCTGTTTTGGAGCCCTGAAGGTCCAAAAACGTGACTATTTCTGTGTTGGGCAGATTTCCTAGTCATAATGGAAATGTAATTCCTAGTTATCCTTTTATTATTTTATTTCCTAGTTTTTAGAAAACATTTTTCTAGGAGGGGTTTAATTTGGGGTAGTATAAATAAGGTTTTTAGCCATTAGGGTTCTGGACGCAACATTGAGAGAATTTAGCAAAGCTTAGGAGAATTTCAGACTTTTTACCTACAAGGTGTTTTCATTTTTTTCTAGTTAATGATATTTTCTTTGATTTTTATTATGAGCATGCGTAACTAATTTCTTTTGCTAGGACGAAGCCTTGAGCCTTAACATGAATATGTAATTTTTATTTAATTGCTTATGATTGATTGCATGACACACCCCAACCAGGAGGGTCCACTTGGACTTCGAATCGAGTTGCGCTGGCCGACACCTGGAGGGTGATGAAGCCATAAAGTGTAGTGTAGAGGAGGAAGAATATGAATAAATTTAAACTTAAAAGTGCCTAAACCAAAGAGTGCACGGGCGAACGGGATTGCACCCATTACACACGTGATGGTAGAGCATAAGAACAATACAGTAAAATAAGATGAGGGTTATACCACTGAAGACAACCATCCCCTAAGATTTGCCAGAATCCTCGTTTACACAAAAGCACAGCTACTAAACCTGGAGGGGCGAAAAATAAAGTTGAGTGGGTCAGCAAAAATAATGCCTATAAGAAAACCTTTATTTTCGAATATACTAATCCCTCGTCTTAAAACATGTATAGTTTCCTTAAAACATACTACGTAAGTATGTAAACAGTAATACAACAGCGTTACGACCAGAAATATGCCAAGTCATGATATATCGATTGCCTTAGTAATATAATCATGTACTAATCAAGTATAAATAAGTGCTCATCCATCTAAGCTAACACATGAGTTCGAACAGATAATTTATGACATGAACAGGACTGGGTGTAATCAATATGCTCTAGTACTACGATCACGTGAAGGCTGGTGCAGAAGCACGATCACATATAAGTTAGATTGCCTAATGCAATCTACCTGACAAGATTGGCACCTAACTTGGATCCAAGGTGAGCGAACGGTGCGATGTGAACATACACGTGAATGACTGGCCCTGGCCCTGGGGCGAGTACTAACACTGGGGTGCAGCAAAATGAGCATGTACAATTATGTATGAATGTCATGACAATAATATCTCAGTTATATAGCAGCATTTATCACATTTAATATCACAATAACGATACTTGGCAATATAAGCATAAAAAATGAAGTAAATACGCATTTATGGAAACTATAAATATGTATACGTATAAAAACAAATTGCCCATTCACAGATACTTAGCTGCCGAAGAGCCATGCAAACTAGCAAACACGAAAACGGCACAAGTAATTGCCCCTAAGCACATAAAGGGTCCAATTAATAAAACTATATTAAAACAATTGAATTTAGGAAAACGGACATCGGAAACAGATTTAGGACGTCGAATTACCTTAAGGAGGGTCCTTGTTAAATTTCTGGAAGGTCAACAGGGGGAATATTCCCTAACGGAATATTTCTTGACGGACGGAATATTCTCTGACGGATGGAATATTCCCAAACAGAATATCCCATATGGGTTAAGGGTTTGGTGTCACGGGCCTAAGGCCCTAATGGAGAAAGGCCTAAGGCCTTATGGTTTTTGAGAAACAAAAATAAAACCAAACTAAATTTGGGTTTAGACTTTAACCTACAAGGCCCCAAAGCCCTTTAAAACAAAAACCTAAAAGGGTTGATTTGGGCTCGGCAAGAAAGGCCCAAAGGCCTGGTGAGGTTGTTGCTCGCCGAAGCTAAACGGAAGGGAATGCCAAATTTCGGCCGGAAAGGTGAACAAGCTTTAAATGTTAATAACTTTGTCAATACTTAACGAAATCGAGTGATTCAAAAACGAAAGTTGTAGTTCTCGTAGAGATGAAAATAATGGTACCTCACACGATGTCTAACTCGTTGTGGTTTGGCTGAAAATCCCACATCGCCCAGGGGGTGATCCCTATATGTATATTCCTATCCCTACCTAGCATGAGGCATTTCGGGAGCTCACTGGCTTCGGGTTCCATCGGAATTTTGAAGTTAAGCAGAGTAGCGCGAGAGAGCAATCTCATGATGGGTGACCCACTGGGAAGTTCTCGTGTGAGTTCCCAGAAAAAAAACCGTGAGGGCGTAGTCAAGGCCCAAAGCGGGCAATATCATGCTACGATGGTGGAGCAGGCCCGAGATGCGGTGGAGCTCTAGCTGGGATGTGACAATTTGGTATTAGAGCCTAACCTTGGCCGTGGTGTGCCGATGAGGTCGTCGGGCCCCTTAAGGGGGGTGGATTGTAAGATCCTACATCGGCCAAGGGAGTGATCCCTATATGTATATTCTTATCCCTACCTAGCATGAGGCCTTTTGGGAGCTCATTGGCTTCAGGTTTCATCGTAACTCTGAAGTTAAGTGAGTAGCGGGCAAGAGCAATCCCATGATGGGTGACCCACTGGGAAGTTCTAGTGTGAGTTCCCAGAAAGAAAATCGTGAGGGCATAGTCGGGGCGCAAAGCGGACAATATCATGCTACGGTGGTGGAGCGGGCTCGGGATGTGGTGGACCTCGGGCTGGGATGTGACATTGCATGCATACTTTGAATTATTAATCATTGTGATTAAAACAATCTAAATGTCTTAATACCTGATCACCATTAGGATATTTAGAAAAGTAATTTGATACAATTTTGGTCGGAAGGTTACCTGAAATTGGCCCTGGCATCTTGTGATTAATAATTGTAATTTCACTTAAGATGAACATCGCGTCTTAAGGGTTGTATGGTTTTTCAAAGAGTTTTCATAAAACATAATAAGTCTTTCATGTTCATATCTGATCCGAACGTCCGGATGGATTGCATGTTAGATATACGTTCTATGTTGGAGGTTCCAAGTAGGATATATATTAGGAAAACCTAACCTTCAAAATGGCATGTGCAGATCATAAGTAATTGGTAAAAAATGCATAGGATTGCTAGGTGATGGTGAAACCCTAGTGCTTTTATAAATTGGTATTTAAAAAACTGTTTCCTTTTCCTTCAGCTTTAATATTGCAGATTGTTTTATTTTTATTAATTAAATTCGTTTTATGAAATTAGGTCATAAAAATCAATCATCTCAAATTTCTATTTTACAATAATTAATTGGAATTTGATTTGCTTCGAATTATTGAATAATCCCTGTAGGGAATGACCTTACGAGATCCGTTTATACTACAATAACTTTGTCATTCTTGCCAGTATTATAGGAGTTTTTAAACCTTTTGCGTGTGTGGTAAAATCCTTATCATGTGCCACTACTAATTACCACAACCTAGTATATATATAAGCTTAATAAATTATCGCCATTAAAATAATATATTGACAATCAAGCGCATTTGGTACCTTTTTTTTTACTGCCTTCAAGACCAAAGGACTTACAAAATAATATTCGTGTTTAGGTTAGATTAATTGCAATTGCAGATCCATATTTACATACGCAATATTAGTATGCTACCAGTAATCGAACAGTAGTATGTACAATCATACAACACTAAGGACTCGTTTACTAATCTGTAATCAAATTGAAGGGAATTGAATTAAGGAGGAAACATAATTAACTGGAATCGGAATACAAATGATATTGATTCCATATATATTGTTTACTAGTTCACTGGAATCAGAATTAAAACTAGCTTGATTACTAAATTGTCCTTGTTGAAAATAAATTATTTTTATACCATAATTATTGAAAATTAAGTTTATCTATATAAAATTAAATTTATCTTTACAAACTTTATATTTTCTCCCTCCCATCCTCTCATCCCCATCTTTTCGTTACCGACTTCCAGAGCACTCCCTGTCTCCCACGCCTCTTCGTTTAAACAGTGGTAAATTTCTTGTAGCAAGAGTCACACTTGAGGCAGCAAGAGAGACAACAATTAGCTGAGGAGCAAGTCTGGGCATCCACCCTTACATCTGTAAAGCAAGAATTGGAGGAAAAGCTTGCAGCTATGTCTAGAAAGGCTTCAGGTACCAGAACCATCCAAATGTACATTTCTACACCTTAAAGAATTTTAGAAAATCTCCTTTCAGATGTTCAAGTTATAAAATGGAGAGGACTTTAGGCCTTGCTGCCTTTTCTTTCCCAGCCCTTACAGCCCTTCCCACCACCTATCATACTCACAGGTCCTCCATGCTCCCCTAATCCTCCATATCCTCTTCTCCCTCAGCCCCACAACCTCCCATATTCACAGATACACCCATTGCCTC